CACACACACACACACACACACACATACACACACTCACAAAGACATTCATATATTCATAAACATATCTATATACACTTATTTATATACTGAACGGAATTAAAAACCCAGCACTTAGTTCGGAAAGTCTGTGCACTGTGCACGTTTTTATAGAATGAAGGTAGATTAAAAGAAGTGTTCATTGAAGTTTGTTCTTTGTCCAACCCATGTGAACCATTTTGAAATTATTATTATATTCTTTACCTGATTTCGATTCATCGGAGCACACTCTATAGATAAATTGGCTGTTAGGCACAAATCGAAACGTAATTTTTTAAAAATCTTTCATCCTGAGTAACCTGTATGACCTTCATTAGCATGTCTACAGCCAAGACACGTGTTCATGAATCTAATAACATTTTTAATGTTTTGTTGAGGAATTCTGTACCTCTTTTGCGGCTTCCAATTGCTGCAGATTTGCAAAAAGGCATCTTGTTCAAGTAATTCCAGATGCATTGGAGACATGTCCCGTAAAAAAGTTGGCCTGTCCACGACATTCACGTCATGACCTTCCAGTCAGAGACTGTGTTGTTTGTTACACGGGTTGTGTGAGGGCGGCACGTTGTCATTCTGGAAGACCGAGAGGCTCAGGTGAGCATGAACGGTTTCGGTCAGTGAAGACGGCGCGGTCGTCGTGGATTCGTCATAGCAGCAGCAGTCCTAAATAAGGCTCTTTTTGAGTTAAGTCCTGAGTCTTTGCCTCATAACAGTGGAAAAAAACATTTTAATACTCGCGTTGCATGCCATGACAAATTCAAGTGTCTTACTTATGAAAACAATTTTACAACCCCCCCCCCTTTTTTTTTCCTTTAAAAAAAATTTGTCAGTGGCTGACCATACCGTTCGCTATGACGCATGAGGCTGTCGACTCCATCACCACCAACAGCTCGGACAAGTGGCTTGGTAGCCTGGAAGGTTCCTACGCCGCCAACTACATCGACTACTACCTCCTTCTCATATGTGGGGGAATTCCCTGGCAGGTAGGCTACACTTTATCGACTGGGATGTATGTGTCTGTTTTGTGATGAGTTAAAGCTAGTCTTTAGCAATAAAGCGTTGGAAAAGAAAAGTTATTTTGAAGTGTTATGTAAAGCGTGATGTGTCTGTTGTATTGTAAAGCTTATTTTATGAACTGATTTTTTATGAGACATTGTTCTCACTCAAAGGTTTCTTGCAAAACCCCTAAAGATTAGCAGAGAAAATAAATATTCCTCTTTGTACACCAGACTTGGCTGGGAATGCAACATGTATATTTCGTTGCTCTAATAAACACTGCATTTGGCACATAAACAACTCCATAAGTAGACTTTTATCTTCCATTATTAGTGAATGAACTCTTCGGTTCAAGTTACATAAGCTTTCTAGGGTTGTCTGCTCCTTCTAATTTATTTTATAAGTGTCATTACTGTCTCATACAGTCCTTGATGACTTAGATCTTTTCGGTTCTGATTTTTTCGAAATAGGTCTACTGGCAAAGAGCTCTCTCTGCCAAGTCTGTACAAGGTGCCCAAATGCTGAGTTTTCTGGGAGCTATAGGATGTCTTGTGATGGCTGTCCCAGCAGTTCTTGTCGGTGCGGTGTCTGCTTCCACCAGTGAGTAGAGATGGTGTTCTAAGCCTTCTAAGTTGAGATGGAATAGTACCTTTCTGCTCATTATGCACAAATACAATTTCAATTAATTCCTTCGATTTATTTGTCTTCATTTTTGAATAGTATTCTCTTTAAAACAGTTCAACACCCGTGTCGTCAGCTGATGTAAAAATGCAAAGTAAATACAAAAAATAAGAAAACCCAAGCAACCCCTCCAAAAACAAACAAACAAAACAAAGCAAACAAACAATCAGACGAACAGACAAATAAACAAACGGACAAACGAACAAACAAAACTTATAATATCTTTCGACATTTTTTCTTCCATGATCCAACACGATAGTACATCCATCCAAACATGCTTGTTTTTCAAGGACGCGAGTCGAACGTGTCGTAGCTGTCTGATATGAACAGCCAATCACAAAGCTTGCAATCCACAAGTCATAAGGTCAAGGTCATATCTTCTTTGCACGCAAAATGCGTTGATGAACATTGTGGAATTGGAAAGGCTGAGACTAATATATCTAGAAAACTGACAACATTTCCCATGTCGGTGGTGTTCCAAGAACCTCTCAACGTAGCAGTCGTGATAGCGGGCAGTCGGCATTTGAAGCCGGTATTGAAGGAAATGACTGTGTTGCAAACGGTTCTACTCATACAGAAACAAATCAACAGCATGTATTCAATATACCGAGTGAATTCAACTGTGACCTTCAAATTCAAGTTTTTCCAGGTCACAACTCGAATCGGTTGTATTTCGCCAAAATGGTAAATTCTGCTCCTCTATAAAGGAAAATCTGGCTAACCCAACTTCACTAATTGAATTCGAGTTGCAGTATGCACTGGGTATTAGCCTAACCCTCACCCCAACATGTGAATCTACACCCCCTCCTCCCCCCCCCTCCCTGAAGAAAAAAGAATAAACAAATAAATAGAAATTTAAAAAATAATGAAACCAATGAAATAAATAAACAAATAAACTCCCCAAACTATTACAGACTGGAACGCCACAAGTTACGGCCACCCCGCCCTACTCGAGGAGGATCGAACCCTGACCCTGGCGCTGGTGATCCGGCACCTGTGTCCACCAGCAGTCACGTTCATAGGTCTGGGGGCTGTGTCGGCAGCAGTCATGTCGTCCACCGACTCCTCGGTACTGTCCTCTAGCTCTATGTTTGCTAGGAACGTCTTCGGAGTCATCTACGCCCGGATATATGGCACGAAGGTCAGTTTTGATGGTACGAGTAAATGACATTGCTTGCTTGCTTGTTTGATTGCTTGCTTGCTTTCTTGCTTGTTTGCCTTCTTGCTTGCTTGATTGATTGATTGATTACACCTATGCGAGTTATAGATTGAACGCACACATAACTTGAATGATTTATTAAGTATTGTTCCATTCATTAAAATAGTATTTGCATAGCGTATATCCCGCCTCAACAGCAACCTCTGTGAGTTCTACAGTCTCACATTATTACCACAGCAGACCCCAGAACACTCAGAAACTAAAAACATTCTCAGCTTCCCAAAAAGTATACACTGTAGGCAGCCGATAAAGCACCTGAAGACTAACAATATAGACACGATCGTCTATAACCGAGTATCCATTCCCGCGCAGGTGAACTGAGGAATTTTCGTGTAAAGTGCGTTTCCGAAGGATGCAACTTCGGGCCCGTGACGGGGATCGAACCCACGACGTTTTGGTTGCGAGCCCAACAGTCTTGCCACTAGACCACCGACGTCACTATATCAATTGATTATTAAGGATGTGTTTAGTTGTATGCATACCTGTTAAATCCTGTAATGACTGATTAGGACAATCCATTAATTCATCCTTTCTTTAATTTATTTATTCTTATAGAAATGTAATTCGACTCTCCCCCTTACCTGTTTTCCCCAGCCTTCAGACTCCGTCCAGGTATGGGTGATGCGGGGTGCCCAGGTGGTCATCACCATCCTAGCCTGTCTGATGGCCATCTCGGTCAAGTCTGTCTACGGCCTGTGGCTTCTGTGCTCCGACTTGGTTTTCGTCACAATTTTCCCCCAGCTGATCTGCGTCATGTACCTCAAGGACAGTAACGCCTACGGGTCTCTAGCATCGTTTGTGCTGGGGCTAGTATTTCGCCTGTTGGGAGGGGAGAAGTCTTTGGATTTACCGGCGGCCATTGAGTATCCGTGGTAAGAGTACAAGGATAATTGATTTTTTGTATTGAAAGATTTTACTCTCCCCACCCCCCTCTCTCTCTCTCTCTCTCTCTCTCTCTCTCTCTCTCTCTCTCTC